CCTTGGGCAGAAGCCGACCCCTTGGTCCAGTGATCTGGGTGAGAACTTGATCTGAAACAGGGCACACACGTTGATTTGATATGATTTGTGTTTGTTTTGTAGTTTTTGTCAAAGTCTGGATAGAACTGAATCATCAGCACCTATCAGCACCTACCAGTGGGAGGCTGGAACTTGTATCTTTTCCTCGCCGAAGATAGCATGCAACTCCGCATTGCTGGGGTGCCTAGAAAGGGCCAATTCCAGCGGGCTCTCCTGTGCCAAACGTGTCCGTCTGCGATGGAGTGCCTGAGGCACCTTGGGCGGAGTGCAAGAAGCACGGAGAGCCAAAAGCAAGCGACAAATGGAGCTGTCACCCCCAAGTGCAGCCCAATGCAGAGCCGTCCGCAGCTGTTGATCTCGACAATTGATTTCTGCCTTGGCATTGGCCGCCAACTCGACTGTCTCAAGGTTACCGGACCGTACCGCATAGTGCAAGAGTGACTGCTTACTGCTGTCTCGACTTTGTGCATGTGCTCTGGCTGCCAACAGCGATTGAAGCGCACTGTAGTTCCCAGCAGCGCATGCAACATGACCAGGGCTGGCATGCGTTGCTGTGGGATGCATCACATTCGCAGCAAACTTCACCAAGAGTTGCACCATGTTGCTGCTGCACTTGGCCGCCGCCCAATGCAACGGTGTCATTCCAGCTTCCCTGGGCCCAAGACCTCCAGTTGCTGAAGCGCCAGCCACCAGCAGCGCATGTGCTAAAGTCTCTCGCTGGGCGCGGATCGCGTGCTCCAAGGCCCTGGACGACTTGTCGTGCTGGGACGACTCGACCATCCCTCCTTCGAGCTCGTCGCGCTCGACGTCGGACGTCGCGGGAGAGGTCCGGACCCCGGCGCGGGCGAGGAATTCGGCATAGTGGCTGAGAATGGGTCGCTCCAGCAGGGCACATGGAGCAAATGGACCCCCATCGCACAAGCCGAAGTGACATTCGGCATCACCGGCTCGCTCAGGCGCCAGGAACAAGGATGCATCTCCTGCAGGACTTCGCCAATCACTGATGCCTTCCGCCCACTTTTGCCCTCCTCCACCACCGTGCAGCACCGCCCGCAATGAGCGGGTCACCCGCACGGCCAACACAGATCCACCACCTAAGGCATAGAAATCCTGGTTGGTTTCAACCATCCCAAACATTCGTGTCAATTGGGATACTCAGGGAACATGTCCAAACAAAGGAGGGTAACAAATAGAAACCCAAAAATCAATGAACACCAAATCGATTATGCCAAAAGCCAAACAGAGGCATAATATGAATCTTTGTTTAACAACACAAGGAATCGAGCGGCGCCACAAAAGATAGACACTCCATGTATGCCATATATATGCCTACATTGACCCCCCAAACCACCCCAATGTAGGTAAACATACCATACATGTCGTGTCTGGCTAATACAACACATCATGTTGTGTCATTCGATTTCCAACTGGAAGCCACCAACTTCAAAAATCCATCAAATGTCGAACCTTGAATAACTCACCCAACCATTAATTGTAACCTCTTCATATGGGGGGTTGACATATCGATACATATTACTCTTAGTTCACCCAGGCTCAGCAGTTCGCGACATCTGTGCATCTCCCACTCCCTCCGCAGCCCAGGCAGCGGCCACGGCTTCCTCCAAGGCTCCCCGCGGCGCTTCGCCGTGTTCGGGCGCTCTGTGCTCCAGCCGTTCTGCGGTGCTCGGGCGCGGCTCTGGGGGGAGGGCGGCGCGATCCGTTTTGCCGTTCGAGGTCAAGGGTAGACGCTGCAAGTCCACGAAGCGACGAGGTCTCATGATGCGCGGCAAGTGCTTCTCACAGTGTGAGCTGATGCAAAGGTAGGAGATACCATCAAGGACCTCATTGGCGAGAACAAGATACGCAAGTAAGGTGCCACTCTTCCAGGGAACCACTGCGCATTGCGCGACCAGTGGGCTTAAACTCAGCGCGTGTTCCACTTCTCCCAACTCCACCCGTTCTCCATTCAGCTTCACCTGAAGATCTCGGCGTCCCAGCACTTGCAACAACCGGCGTTGCCCGTCTTGGGTGGTCGACCTAGGAACCCAACGGCCAGCATCACCGGTCAGGTAACAACGTTTCTGATCTGCAGCGACAAAGCGAGCCGACGTCAAGTCCGGCAGCTTGAGGTATCCACGGGCAATGCCAGAACCAGCCAAGCAGATTTCACCGACCTCATGGTCATCAGTATCAGTATCATCACACCATGGCTGGAGAGAAATGAAGGTTCCTGGAAAAGGAAGTCCTGCGGTCTGCGGAGGCGTATCTGCTTGCATGAGCATAGCTGCTTGGTAGACCGTAGCTTCAGTGACCCCATAGATGTTTCGGAGTTGGACGGAGGAGGCCCAACGTTCCACCAACTGCGCGGGCATCTTTTCACCACCCAAAGATAAGCACCTCAAGTGTTTGCTGTGCCGAAGCATGGAATGATCCGCCAGCTGCCAAAGTGCAGGAGTCGCACAAACATGAGTAGCTTCAGATTCGAGCAGCACCTTGCTGAGTTCCTGCAACAACTCCACGCGCGGTGCCAAAATCAAAGCGGCACCAGCAGCAAGAGCGCAAAAGATGTCGCCCTGACATGGATCGAAGGTGATGGCCGAGGTCAGGAGAACCCTGCTGGATGCATCGATCTCTTCCACCGAAGCTTTGGCCAAGGCATACCATGCAGCTTGCCGGTGCTCGCAAAGAACGCCCTTGGGCTGGCCAGTGCTGCCAGAGGTGAATTGGACGTAGCACAAGTCCTGTGGGCGGATCGCTCGACCTGGGTCGGCTTGGAGATCAGGAAGCTCCAGCAAAGCCTCCACGCAGCGGATCTGGAACTTGGACGGGTTTTTAGGGGATTGAAGGGGTGTAGGTGTAGGTCCAGAGATTAGTGGTGGATCATGGTGGAGGCGCTTTTTTTGCAATCCTCCAAGGCCAAAGCCAATCCCTTTCAAAGGAAAAAAGGATGAGCCACGGCCAGTTCACGTGGTAGAACAAGCCCCTTATATACTACTGGATGGTTGTAATCTCACTGCCGTAGCTGTTTCTTTTTTTGCCACAGCTCAGCTGGGTGGATCTCCCCTGCCTCCAAGGTCCAGACGGGAACCGGGAAATTCTCGACGCAAAAGTCTCTGGGTGCAATCAGCAGTTCAGCGCCTGCCATCATCAGCATGCTTTCCAGTCGTGCGCGCGGCTGTCGCAAGTCCAAGGGCAGAAAGTACATGCCTGCCTCCAGGGCTGATTTGCCCACATGCATAGAAGCAACTATACAAACACCGTGCTGCCGCTTGTTCAGGGGTCCTTTAACTGCTCTAGTTCCAAACCACAAACATTTGGAGCATTGAGCTATGCATCTAGACCACTCAACCCTGCCTCGAGGACAGCTACTTGAAGCAACACCAAGCCCATGCCCTCATCCAGACCAAACGCGACGCAAGCTTGTGTTTCCGCCGCCCACAGTTGTCGCAAAGATCGGGCCAATCGCTGTGCAAGACTGAGCAGTGAGGCAAAGTCCCATGTCTTGTCACCTAAGGAAGTGACTGTGGCGGTGCTCTTCCACAGGTCACAAAGACTCACCTCTCCATGTGGCCAAGCAGATCCTTCCCAATCCATAGCTCAACTTGCTCTCCAGTTGTCATGAGGGGAGCGTGCTTAAATACAAACAAATATCTCATCGGTCCAGGCTGCCTTCATCTAGTTTCATGTCGAATTCGAGGCAGCAAAAGGGAGGTGGAGATTTAGCCTAAATCGCTGACTCTGACATGGATTTAATATTTATCCAGTAACCCAGAGTGACCTTGCAATGATGGGTCTTCCTAACTCTTTTCTACTGTGCTTTGCTATGGACGGCCATTCCCTGAAGCCAAGCTCAGACCGGAACGAACATCCCAGAACTGTTCAAAGAGTGGGTCGTGTGGAAGGTCAAACCGGACTGACGTGGAGAAATTTCAAACAGGTCAAACCGGGTCACCAACAGTCAAACCGCGTGACCCATCTGATCTCATGCCGTGAGCTCAGGCGAAGACGACAAGGGAAGGGGTAGTCCGATGTCCACACCAGGAGTCGGTTGTAAACCAGTTTCAAAGGAGTGCGTTTTACAGGAGACCAGTGACTAGGGCCTTAGGGCCTACAGACTCACTTCGGGAGCAAAAGGGCACCCCAATCACCACTCCGGTGGGGGCTTTTGGAACTGCTGGTATGATCACAGCGGAACTGCTCGTTTCTGTTCTTCCCGGCCGATGTACCCGTAAACGGTTGACGTGGTCGTCGCGGTCGTTGACGTGATGGATTTTCTTCTGGAAGGTGTACCTATACATTGACCCACATAACCAACCCTTTATAAGTACATATGCCAGTCCCATGGATTGGTTATTTGGGTCAATGTATATATATCCCACCCTAGGGATCCAGTCGTACCTTCTCAGGTGGTGATTGGAGACACTGTTATGTAGGTGCCAGGAGGGTCCAAGTACCTTCTGAGAAGGTACTTGGATCCCTAGGGTCGGATATACATTGACCAATAAAACCAAGCCTTTATAAGTACATATCCCAGTCCCATGGATTGTCATGCCGTCAGAATGTGATTCGATTCATCAAAGCCCCCCATATCACATCATATCACCATACCGTACATTAAAGAGCTTTTGCAACCCAAATGGGGGTTCCGTTCATCAACAGTCTACAATATGCCATCAAACAAAGCCTAATTTCATCTATGTATTTATGTAATACATTATTTCTAATCCCGCCCGTCTCGTTGCACGTGTTTTCATGAAAAAACCTGCGTAACTCGCCCCGTCTCAGATTCCAACTCCTTGGAGCGAGCCTCCAATTCCGCAGCCGTGGCAGCGGCCTGGCGGGTGGACAACCGAGGGAGGCAGACCCAAACAAAGGTCACAAATCAAATGGGCAGAACATCTTTGTTAACAAGCTGTGGAATCCAAATCCCCGCTGGCCCCTGCACCCCACCCCCAGTCACAAGATGCCAAAAGGACATACTGTAAACAAAAAGCCCTGCAAGCATACATAGCCCTCTCCTGAGAATGGATGGGCACGAAGCTCGAAAGCTCCGAATCCCACCGGAATGGCCTGTGCCTTGAGCTGCGCCAGGCCCTCAATGGCCTGGCGGCACGCGCACGATCGCGTGCTGCGCACACACGGCGTTTCCCAGCGTTGGACGTACGGACTCAGGGGGCGAGGCCCATGGAGGCCCCTATAGTCTGGTGGCTGAAAGCAGTTTGATGTCCCAACAGGGTGGCTCATGTGACTCAAGCTCCCCCTTTTCTTCATGCTTTTGCTTTCTTTATGTTTTCGGTATCAAGCAGGGTCTGTAACAGCTGCAAGACTAGATGCCTCTGCCTTTGCACGGCTGGCTGCCACTTTCTCCTCCTGGTCAACACACACTTCTCCGCTGAAAACAACACTGATCTGCGGGTTCTTACAAGACAAAACCATCGATGAAATCGTCTCCAAATCTTTGGAGGTCTTCCTCATCTTAGGTGACCCGCTGGTGGTCCATTCCCAACGGCCCAGCCGGGTGTCCTCCAGCAGGGCCTGCATCTTGGGCACTTCGGTCTGCGAAGCCTGCATGCAGGGTAGACACCCACGTGTCCGCAGGGTCTATCTCCTGAAAGAAGATCCGTAGATTAAATATATATATATATGATATGATGATAATATGGTGGATGCAACTCAAGGCAGCAATGAACCATTAGACAACATGACAACAACAAAAAAACATATATATATATAATTTATGTGTATGTTTTAAATCCACACACTTCTCGAATGGCTTTGAGACTCTCCATGTTAGTTTTCACCCATTTGGCCACTCCAGCGCTAGTCGGCCTCGCTCAAGCGTCGGCATTCGGCCCTCCAGGTGTCAAGTTCCGCTTTCAAAGTTGCCACCTGAGGTTGTGAGGGGACGTTGTGAGCTTGTGATATGAAAAACGTTGTTTTCATATGTTTTCATAATGTCCATATCACAATCTATGAAACGCATAGAGTCAAGATCTGTCAAGTAGAGGATCATGATTCAGCAAGGTTCTCGCTTTTTTACTGGGGGGCCTATGGCGGGCGTATCACACGTTCTGGCGGTTGTTATGAAGCTTCACGTTTCTTTGAGACCTTCGAGATGCAAACGCAACGTCAAATCATAGGTTTTGAGTGTAATGGGTGATGTGCATCTCAATACATGCAGGGTCTGAAAGTGGTCTTGAAATCAAAGTTTACTGGTTGCTTCGACCAAGTGCAGCAAACTCAGCATGATAGAGTACCTGTTTCCTCTGAGATCTGCTCCGGCTTCTTGAAACACGAGAGCTCCAGCTTCTGCTCCGGTTGGAGCTGGAGGAACTCGAGCCACTTCTATGTACAAATGGAGCGGTTGAGACCGGTACGCTTGGCAGTGCGATGTTCATAAGGCACGCCGCATTTTCGGCTGCTTCTCGCACAATCCAGTTCTCATCTGTCAAGCAAGCGGTGACGGGAGACAGGGCGCTGGCACGTGTCGACACAGCGGCCTCGACACATCGAGCCACGGCAGCGATGGCCTCCAAGGCGCAAACGGCCATGCGGTCAGAGGAGCGGCTGCGGGCCACAGCGCCTAAGGCACGGATGGCCAGGACACCTGCCGAGTCTGTGCGAATGATCTCAGGCAGTGCTTGCATGGCCAAACGACGGATGTCATCATCTGAATCAGAGATGAGCGCACAAACTGCAGATAACACTTGATTCACCTCTTCGCCAGATCCGCGGGATAAAGAACACAACAGCGCCAAAGCCTGTCGTCGAATCTGAGGCGAAGGATCCTTGGATGCCGCCACGGCCACTTCTTGCGCTTTCCGGTCTCCGGGTTCGGAAGCACTGGCCAGTGCCTCCAACGACGCGGATCTCACATCCTCATCGTCGTCTCTGGCAGCAACGGTGGCCAAGAGACTGGAGAGCTCACAACATCTTCCACACAAAGCTGTAAAGCATCCGGCGGTCCGAGCAGCAGCGATGCGAACGTATCCATCTGGATCCATTAAGCGTGGGGATAAAGAGTGTGTCATCAACTTTCTGAAGCCAACTTCCGCCGCCTCTGCCTTGTGTGCCTGACCAGGCATGGGGTCCACGGTGGGTCCATGCGGTCCATGTGTGGTCCACGTGTGTCGAGTGATTTAGCTTACCATCAGTGAGAAAGGTTGCGAACGTGTTGAAATACAGACCTGGCTAAGGTTCCAAACAGAATTGCTCAGAAACTTGCAGTTAGTTATTCTAAGTATTTCGGTGTGCCCTACTAGTTTTGGACGGTATCCATTCCCTTAGTTGATTTGTTGAACTTATGATCTATATATTTCATGAAAATTGAAATGGACCGCACATCAATGCTGCACTAAGATCACTAAGTCCTAAGGTGCACATCAACACCACACACCACCTATTCGTCAAATTGAACAGCAAATATCAGCGGCCTGAAGACAGCGTGCAATGTTCTTCAAATTTAGTGCTCCCCAGGCCTTCACTGTCTCCCACAACTTGTGAATGAGCTTGCACAAAAAAGGCTATCGACTATCATAATACATAGTGTGGCTAACAGTGCTAACACTGCAATGTCATCCTTGATTCCGTTACATTAACTCACCTAATATTCAATTTTCACAACAAACAGTGGTGCACTACAATACTCCGTATGTAGATCATGAGGGTGCTCCCGTCTCTACTTCGGCAACACAAACATATCTGTTGGACTTGGATATTGAGAAAAACAAGTCTCACAATTACAATACCTTGGGCCCTTGGGCCTGTCCTATTGCCAGAAACCATGTAACCATGGTGGTTAGTGAAGGCCTTTTTTTAAAATAGTGATAATGTTAACACATGTTTACTGACTGTTACAGGTAATTTCACAGACCCAAGCAAATGAAAAAACGGTCCTTGCCCTCTACTCCCTGTCCACTTACAAACATGCTTTGTCACTGTCAGGGACAGCCTCGGGGACGTACTTCAGGCATGCAGATGTTAAAACTTCCTGCAGCGTCATCAATGCCATGCACCTGGTTTCTGCTAGATTGCAGTCCAGCAGCTCCACCAGCTTCTCTGCCAGCCTCGGCCCATGGGTGGACCTACCAGCCATCAACACAAGCCCGGCACCGGCAGCTTTGCGCACCTCGGCATGTGGATCCTGCAACGCGCCCACCAGAGCGTGGCTGACGTCCTCATCGGCGCCCACGTGGGGCAGCGCCAGGGCCACGGACGAGCGGACGGAGTCATGTACGTCGGCAAGGCATGCGAGCAAGGCACTCTTGGCTCGAAGATGCGGCCGATCTAAACACTCCAGGAGCTTTTGCAAGGATGCGGCCGCAGCACGCTTCACCCAGTGCCGCCGGCTCTGCATCTTGTCAGAAACTCGATCGGCAATCACTTCCACGGCATCGTGGTGTCCCTCTGCAGCAGCATACTGAGCAAAGTGTGCGAAGGCAGAGACAACGGCGAATTGCACATGTTCATCTGAGTCCTCTAGGCTCAGCAACAGAAATTCAAGCCGCGATATGGGCATCTCTTGTAGCGAGAGAGACATTGCTTGAAGCGCAGCTGCTTTGACTTTCCCGGATTTCTGCTGCGCAAGCTTCTCCAAACACTGAAGGGCAGGTGGCTCCAAGGGAGACCAAGCCAGTAATGCATTCACAGCAGCCTTTCGAACATGAGCAGAAACATCGGAAAGTGCGCGGACAGCCACGGAAATGGTCTCATGTCGAAAGGCGTGGAAAAAGGGGTCCCTTGGAACCAGCTGGGACAAGACCTGGAAGGCAGTGGCGCGAATCTCGGCTTCATGATCCTGTGAGAGTGCCAAGACCAAGGCTGCTAGGGTCAAATTACCTCGGTTTTGCTTGCAAACGGCCGATTCCAAGGCGGCCTTGGCTCGTCTCGTGTGTCCCCGGCCACCTCGACACAATTCCCGCTGTAAGTCTTGAATCTCTGGGGCTTCTAAAGCACCAGCCTCTGCTTTCAAAATGACCGCACGGAGGAAATCCATCGAGAACAACTGGAGCAATCCGTCAGCAGCGGATCGAGCAAAAGCCAATCCTCGCACTCCCAGAGTTGGACCAAGTCTTGCAAGATCAGCGGCTTCATCAGCATCTTCACCTCTCTCGCCATCTTCAACTTTGGCAAGCAAATGTACCTGAAGCTCATCTTCACACTCCAGCAACCTTTCAGCCATTTGCACTTCCGCAGCTTCGATGGCATCGTTCACATCCAAGAAGCTGGCAGCTCGGACAAACTCAGCAGCAGTTTCTGAGGGCCACTGCCTGGGCAACACCGCTCTTTCAATGAAGTCCTTCAAGCCGAACAAGCCCACCTAAAAACGAACGAAAAGCCGTGCAATGAGAATATGGAGGGCTTATGCGACGTCGGCTGGGTCGCATGAGGAAATGCAATTGTTTAAAACACCCACAATTACACCACATCAGCGGGTCAACAATTCTCCCACTTATCCTCGTTCTCAAATCAGCTGGTTCTGGTGTGGATTAAGGTGGACGCCGCACAACGAGGTGATCATGCCAAACAGGGAATAGCCACAAACCACGGATCTTCACTGAGGCTTTGGAGGTTTGGCCTTGCACATCTGTCGACCATACAGGTATGGCAGTGGGTCATGGCGGACCCAGCTTGACCAGTGAACATGAACAGAATAGACAGAGAATAAACGAGTAAGGTGAACCTACCAGGGTCCAAGAAAGGGCTCGACGACTGTTATTTTTTGCACAGCAGTATGTGGAGGCTTAAGTCGGTTCGAGCACCCCACCTTAGTGATTCCTGAAGCACTGGGCACTGAGAAGGCTTCACCCTCAAACAAGCCCTCCAATGATGCCAGCATGGGAGAGACTTGCTTGGGCAAAGTGACGACGGTCTCATCATCCAAAACCACACGAAGGGCTTCTGACTCGACATTCATGAAATCAAGCTCAGCTCACATCAGCGGCCACTGGTCGCGTCGCGTGGCGTTTTGGCTGTCGATCAAGAGTGAGGCTTGTTTCAAGTGGCAAAGAAAGTATACTTCAAGTCTAAACTAAAAGATTGCAAACACAGGGACATAGGGGTTCATGATGATTCGACATGCGCTGACAACAAAATCGACAGCTATCATTGGTGAATCTGCGAGAGCGAAGCAAATGCTGCCTGGGTTTGAATATGTTCGGATCCTGTTTGTCTTTCCCAATCAAGAGAGATTAAGTGACCTGAACTAGGACGCTGCTGGGGTACCTATGGGATAGTCAAACTAGGGTTGGAATGGGCTGGCAAATGACAGGTGTGATAGACTGTGCCTCCACTTTGAGCTTAGCGGTGCTCTTTTCGTCCACCTGCTTCTCATCATCATGCCTGCCAGCTGCACCCATCCGATACTGCAACCATTCTCATGCCACTGTCGTGCAAAGGGGGCCTGGCTGTGCAAGTTGAGGCACAAACAGCGAGTCGTACTTGGATGTTTGCATTCAAAAACCATCGACATTTACAGTGCTACCATAGACATTTACAGATGAAACACTAACACGCTTGTCGATATTTGTCGATGCTCATAGATGCTCATGGGGCCTGTGGCTTCTGGTGATTAGGCCTGGAATAGTTTTCCCAGAAACGGCCACAGCGGCTCCAGCACGATGACCATTCGTTTCTTCCGTTCTGAATTGCTGGCCAAGGGCCATACCCTGTAGATCCTATAGGCTCCAACTCAAGCGCCAACCCCCCGCACATCCTCCCAATTTTGCCTCTTTCCCTGGTCCATTCTTCCTTCGTCTTCCCCTTCGTCTACCCCACCCTCCGAGTTGCGCTTCTTCCCCGCGCAACAGATGTTCTTCATTGTTCTTCCACCCACCGCGCCGTCGCGCGCGGCGTCACGTCGCGAAGGGGCGACCGAAGGGCGCGGCGAAGATCGGTCCCCGCCTACTGAGGTCCACCTTCAGCTGATCGACCTCCCTCTGAGCCTGAGTGTCCGTCTCACGTCTCGGCAAAGCCCCAGAGGCGAAGCACCTACCTACGGCGTCCTACGGCCGCCCTGGTAGACTTCGTCGGACGCGCCAAAGCAAGTCCGGACGGTGGGAGGCCATCGCTAGTAGGTTGGAGGCCATCGCCAGGAGTATGGAGGAGTGGTGAATCTGAAAACTCAACGAACACGTTTCTCGCCGGAAAAGACACAGGCTCCTCCGCTGCTTTGTCTCCCACAGAGATTGCACCCACGTCGGTCACGGCAAAAAAGAAGCCCCAAACCGTGCGCCCCACCTGCTCCAGCCTCTCCTGCGTCCTGGCGTACTTTCGTGGACGTGGCTGGTGGTCGTGATGTTCCGGCGTTGGACTGACTATAGCCGACTATAGTGGTCCCCGAAAAAATAGAAACGGTGCCCAATGCATTTTTAGTGGGGATATGTGGGCATCTACTCTTCTATCTATATCTATCTATTATATATTATATGAATTATATGTAAGGGTCTATATATATCTATATCTATGATGATGACTTTTGACGCATTCATATACTCAATGTGACTCAGTTTGAAGATTGTTAAGAGGGAATCGATGCCTGAAGCAGGACACTATAAATTCGGCTACGTCTTGCCCTTTGAAGATGCCGGAAGCGGAAGTTCGCCCCACTGACGCAAGGTTTTGGCTTCTGGAAAACGGACGCCAGGGCTGCCATGGGCTGCCCGAAACAGCATGGTTTCGGGCAGCAACATGTCGACTGTTGATGGTTGGGGGGCAAAACCAGGATAGCGACCAGTTGACCCACCTGGGAGGTCATTAAGGTTGTTCACTGGTGGACTGGTCGGGCTGCCATGACCCATCCCCTGATTAAGACCCCCCCCAACCAGGCTGGCTTACATAGGGGAGAGTTTGATTCATCAACGGTCTAGAGTCGGCTGTGGGTCAAAACCCGGGCCCGGGGCCCCTGGTTGACCACGCAAATAGCTAGTTCCAAGGGGGTGGGGCTCCGGGTTTGGACTCTCTGTCATAGAAGCAAGTCTTGCTGATCAATCAATTTGATCGATACGGCCAAGCTGCCACGAGCGATCGAGCAATGTTGTGGTGATTCCCGCGAGCATCAATTATGGGCCCCCAACAGCTCCAAGAAAACACAAATCAAGATCTGCAATGATTATAAGATGTTATCATATTATCATATTGCATGTTGTCTTGCCAACCAGTGAGTGTCTTGTTAGGGGTTTGTCTTGTACTTGAAGGGATCCCTCGCAAGTTATTGAACAGTTCTAGCCTTCCCAAGTTACGACTGGTGAAGCTGCCCTACTTGAGAAAACATCAAATCGATGAAGGAGGACATGACAAGCAAATATCCCAAACTATATATAGTACTGCTTCTATAATTTGCTGTACACAGGCAAACCCTGTTTTCTCAACCAGGAAGGTGTCGAACAAAAGTGGAACGCGTGGAACGGCCCTTGCAGAAGTCACTGGGGTCGGACCCTCGATTCATCCAGGGCTCATGAAAAGGGCTCAAACCAAACTGCGGAGGGCTGGTGAAATGACCCTCTTCCAACTCCAGGGGTTTTCCCCCAAAAGCCTCTACACATCTCAGCTGACCCGATGCGTGGTCGGATGACCCGACTTCGTGCACAGCCCCAGACTGCAGCACAGACCGGAGTTGTTCGGTCGGTTTGGAGGCCAAGCGAGTGCGAGTGCATGGGACCCTCCGAGTTCGGCACCCCGTCATGGAACGGTTGATGTCTTCAGCGACCTGCAAGCTACCTGTAAGCTACTCTAAGTCCCAGGCCACGTGCAGTAAGGGTTTAAAGCTCATCTCCTTCTCCCTCTCCGTATCTATACGTGTTTTTTCAATTCACCGACCAACTGTACCTAGAGACCCAGAGAAGTGCACCTGAAAGGTTTATATGGTCACATGATGTTTTCTCTGGCTCTGTTCTAACATGGTTCGACGGACATCAGGTCCTCTGCTCTTGCTGATTGTTGCTTTCCTGCAATCAGAAACAACAAATACAACAACGACAACAACCACAGCCACAACCACCACAGGCCGCAAAATCCAAAAACAATCCACCAACACAACAATGACAACCACAACCAGCTTGGACTGATAATACTCCTAGACTAGAAAAGCAAGTCGGCTTTCAAAGACTGAGCCTGGTCAAATATCAGAAAACGATATGTCAATCGTTTGCATTAACGGATTTGAGATTCTATGTTTATCTACTGCCTCCTTCTGTCTCACACACACACACAAATCTTCTACTGCCTTGGCCGATGCCAGCTGTTTCTTGAGCTCGTCAACTTCTGCCTGTCAAATCAATCAGCAAATTCTGATGAAGCAAAGTCTTTTGCCGCCATGATATAGAGACTAAGCAACCTGGACAGAACCTCCTCCGTTCCGACAGTGATGGGCCTGGAGCCCTTTCTGCAAGCTCTTCTCCGTAGTGATCTGTTGTTGCCACCGGCATTCTTCCTGTGCAATGCTTGAGACTTCGTGTGTGGAAACTGCATGTGTGAGAGATGCTTGGGGAGATCATGCACTTCATTCGCCTTGTGTCATTCCTCCAACAGCTCTCTACCACTTGCAGTTTCAACGCGTCTTGTAGTCACACTCTGTAACAACAGTGAACAATGCGTTCTGCACCGGAATCCTCGTTTGGGGCAGGCGGGTCCAACCCGCCTCTGCCTTGGCGGCAATCTGTTGACTCACTTGTGCCTGCGCAATCCAGTCATTCAGCCCCCGATGTTTGCTGAAAGGACTGCAGTCACAACCTCAACACATTTTGGATGCTTCCAGCTGTATGGTCGTACGCCAGTAGCCTGAACAAAACAGGCTCACCTGAAAAAGAAGCTGCACAACCCTTTTTTAAAAACCCGCAACAAGCTAGCATCTCTCTAGCTCCTACTTGAAAGGTGCTTTGATATGGTGGGTCCACAGTCCTCTCTTGACTTCTTCAACCAACCGAACCGAACGTAGCGACCTTGAGGCTCGCAAGCTCCCGCTGTGCATCGTCCAAACGCTGGGAGGCTTCGGTGGCCATCCTGGATCTCCGAAGAAGCGGCGTAGGGCACCGAGTCTCATGGCGGCTGACTCGAGACGGGCTGTTTTTTAGGGACTGGCCGGCCATGGCTGGCCAGTTGCAACTCACTGGAGAAGAAGTACTTTTTGCAGCCTCAAAAAAACCCAAAGGCTTGGCTTTCTTCCTTCCAGAGGCCTTTTGGATCCTTTTGGGGCATGCCGCCATGCCCTGAAAAGGGGCTCACATGTGGAACCGAGCTCACTGGGGAATCTGTTGCCCAGTGCGGTGTAGTGATACATCCATCTTCTTCGTTCACGCCAGTCACCAAGGTCAAGTAACAGAAGAATGTCATCATATTTTGTGTTGTATATATATACTTATACAAATATATATATAGATATGGTACCAGTAACTGTGGATGACGATGCTTGGCAAATGCCTCTTTAAAATAGTGATAATTGATTGTTTACCGACATTTATTTCAATAGGACAAACCCAATGTATGTATATATATATATTATTTTGTTATATCATGTTATACTACACATGAAAACCTATAACAATCTGGTGACTGGGACTTGTTTCTCATGGTCCAAGCTTTTTCAGGTTTTGTTGCAGATTATTGGTGAGCGTGACGTTGCGTCGTCCAACATGTAGATGTTCAGATTCCGCTTAGAGCTGCTTATGACTTGCGATCACTGGGACATTTGTAGCTGTCATCACATGAAAGGTAAACACACCCGCATGCCACATGCTAAACCAACGTTGTAAAATCCTTCAGCCACAGTCTGTCAAGCCAAGGGTGTGGTGTGCCTGATGCTTCTTTGACCAGGACCCAGCTGGAATCGAATGTTTCAATGTGCCAGTGCTAGACATCATGCACATTTGAGTTCACAACGTTTATGCAACAAACAGGTGCAACGGCAACATTCTTCAACGCCGAAATCGGGACACATGCCCTTGCATGACATGCCCTTGCATGACATGCCCTTGCATGTGGGGTTCACATCATGCTCATCCTCACCTCTGACCTGCCGGAGATGGAGTTTTCCACATGTCACAGCCTCAAACAAAGCGATCAAAACGAGGAGGTAGAGCCCCCAAGTTATGACCTCCCCACATCACTGCAACAGGGTCCCACATGGAGACCGCACCAGGGTCAACCAGGGTCAAGCAGGGTCAACCGCTCCGGTTATGTGCGTGTGCGTAGCCGGCCTCCTCTGCTCGTCCAGTGCTTTGCTGGCATTCTCCACCCTGGTCTCAAAGGGAGGGCTCAGACTGGGTGGGTCATAGACCCCATCTTTGATGTTGCTGGATTTGGTTCACCAGTCTGTCTCAAAATACTCAATGGTGGATGTTGGTGAGTTCCTCTGTGACGAGTCATCGCTTCTTCCGGAAGCTGTGTGTCAAGTCGATGTACCACGAGATCCTCGAGTGAACTTTTGGGTGGGTAGTCCTCAAGTTCAAGAAGCACTCTCTGATTCGCACCACTTTGAGCTTGCCACTCTTCTGCACATGTTCCTCTTGCAGCAGCCTGGATGTTTGAGCTCCAACAAAAATGGATGGGGGTTAGACTAAATCAGAAGCCTGGTTTGGGCAGGTCAAATTCCGCCAATTCCTCCACCTGTCTTGCTTGGGAAAGTAGCAGATTGTCTCACGTCCGGAACCCCCCCAGCAGCTCCGATCCGCTAAGGCATCTGCAGCCGTTTCCCGTGCTTCGGCCAGGTCTTTGTTCCTTTGACACACCAAAAAAAAATTGCGGTATACAACAAACGCAACAAACGCACCAAAACCCTTCACCGGATTGCAGTCTCGGTCATGTTCAATAGTAACAAAGGGCATCGCTACTAGGAGCAAGAACGCTACTAGTAGCTCCCGGCATCGCTACTAGAGGCAAGAAGCTACTAGTAACAAGGGAACTGACTGCGGCCAGTTCTAGAGATCTTTAGGAATAGTTACAAGGGCATCGCTACGAACGGAGCAAGAAGGTACGAACGTAGCTGCTGGCATTACTACTATAATTGTAACAAGAAGCTACTATGAACAACGGGCATTACTACTACTAGGGCACGTTTTCTCTCCGAGTGCGGTCCTCTCGGTGAGCTCACGTCTCAGTTCCTCCATCTGAGCTTTGTTGCCCGAAGCCTCCATGGTCAGAGTCAATGAGAGCATTTTGGGCTATATAGCCCATCCCGAAATGAAGAGGGTGTGGAACAAGGACACCCAAGAAATCCAGCCAGATGGGTCAAAACCGCGTAACCCTGGATGACCTACGACAGTGAACATGATTCCGGATTCCTCTATCAGGCCGGGATATCAACTTGAACCATGGTTTATCATTGTTTGTAGGGTGAGGTGGAACGACCCACCCCCCATGGCGACGGCTCTGCGATGCTCTGCGCGCTGCATCAGCCTGACCTTCGCCAGCTGGGATTGTAAGTCTGAGATTTCCGTGGCCAGCTTCTTCTTGGCCTCGCGCACATCGAAACACAGGCACGTCTCGGGTGTCATGCGCCATGTTGTGAGTCCAAAACACACATGTTCGACACAGGCTCCAACAAAAAAAACTCCTTTGATCGCAAACAAACCAAAATAAAGATGAGAGACCAGTCCCAAATTTGCCGTGGGATGCCGTGGGTATCTTTCTGAATCAAATCGGAGTTGGCCTCGATTTCCGTCTTCAAGGACCCCTCTGCCGAGCTGAGCTTCGTTTTCAGACTTTGAAGCTCCTCGGTAGCGTCTTCAGTTTCGACATAGGTCAAGGTCCGGGTCGAGGACGCGCAAAACAAAGACAGCACCTGCCTGGTGCATGAACACAATTTGCAGAAACGTTTGTGGGTGGTTATGCTATATAAATCGATATAATAATATAATATCAACACAGCCATCCCGAAAACCTATGCGCCAAGGCCCAGCTTCTGGCAACAACATGACCGGTCTGCAGGAATGAGTGAACATGTCAGGAGTGGTCATATTGGTTGGGTATATCCTATTACCAGCAACAGTGGATGATTATGGTGAGTAAAGGGTTGTTCTAAGATAGTGATGTTCTTGTTTACAGTCAGTTGCAGGTATATAATAAGACAAACCCAAGACATATTGGACATAGAACATGGGTGAACAGTAGATGGCCATCTATAAAGGTCATAGAACATGTCACGTCCCATGTCTCGAGCTGCGGCCCTCCTCGACCTGCTGCGAGGCATCGGCAGTTCCCTTCTCCTGGCGATCAAAGGACAGGGACAAGGAATCCGCTTCTGCAGGATTCAGCTGTCCTCCAGTTGTTTCAGTGTGATTCTTCTCTAGTTCTCCTTCAGTTGTCCTCCAGTTCTCCTGAACTGGAGTCGCTGTCCTCCAGTTCTTTCTCCAAGTCGCTGCAATGCACTTTGCTGGCCTCAGTAAACATGTTGCTGGCCTTTGTGACGCATCAAACACATATCAAAACGTACTGTTGGATTACGATTGGTCATAAGGTCATCAATAATGCAAACACATTCAAACAATTACTCTTACCCCCATGTTTGTTCAAAGGATCGTTTATTGTTCACATTCTGGTAACTTGTTGTTGTCTGAAAGCCAATTGGGATTTTAGTTTCTTCTGAACCCTGTCCACCTGCACTCCCCCCTCCCTTCCCGGGCAAGGAACAAAAAGGATTGCTTCCCAAAGCCATCAATTCCTTTATCAATCCTTTATGTGAAGATTGCTCCTAATGTTTAATGGGCTGTCATTTGTGCTTTGTTCTTCCCCGAGGAAAACAAATCAAATCCTTTCCTGACGTCTTAATACTACTACACCACTGGCTGGCTTGCTGAGATCCTTTACTTAGCTCCTGAGGCCAATGGTGGTGACATCAAAGAAAAACAAAAACAAACAAACAAAACAAAACAAACAAACACAAACAGCAAACATGCGACTCAGCTGAACAAAAGCACCCCATTGAGGCATTGCCAAGAATAACTACAAAGAACCTGAGAAAGGACACTTGATACAATCTATGAAAGGTAAATTAATGCGACAATCGATTGCAAAAGGACTCCTCCCAGGAATCCAGATGTGGTTTGGTGGTAGTTTTATTCATGCTGGCCACCCATTTGCTTAGGAGGAGGGGGGACCCATATCTACCAATCAAGATCCGACATGATCATACAAACCATCTGACAAACATGACATGTGCAATCCCACTCCTGATCTACTCCGAAGCCATGCTCTAACACCAAAAGCAAATCGAACATCATAGGACCTGCCTGAAGCTCCTCTGTCAGCCGCTCGATGTGACCCTTGGCTTCGTCGTGCTCAGTGGCCACCCTCTGAAGCTGCTGCCTTGACTTCGAGAATCAACAAAACAGAAGTAGAACATGCCATGCCGCCACGCGCACACACACACACATGCAGCTAGCCGTGCAAAAAAAGCAACATTTCCAAACATATTCAATCTCTGTAATGTACAGCCATGGAATGTTCAGCGTGAGACCAAAGCCTTCAAAGCTCTTGACACCCAGAACACACAAAGTAGAATCGTTGTCGACATGCCCCCCTTGAAGGTGCTGAGTCGACTCAGATCGAAGCTTCTATGGTAAAACGACCGTATATAGTGACGTGTCTCAATGTAATGATATATTGAAGTTCTATGGCTTCTATATCTTCTATGTACACATAGATCAATCTCAATTGAATGATGTCTTCAGTTCATTCCACGCGTCCAACATCTTCGTCGACCTTTTCATCAAACATGACTCGTGCCCCAAAATACATCATCTGGTCTGGTTTCCTGTTTCCACGATCACCTGTGTTCGCCAAGAAGATATGGACGCCGGCTAGCCGGTGAAAGCATTTCAGGCTCGATGCGCCCATGCGCAATGAAACATTAATTTCATTTTGACAACCTTTGAAGACAACGACATTCCCATCACATCACGATCGGCTGTCGATGCATTCGGCAACATTTGGCCAAAAAGCATCTCTTCCTCCCATTTCGCCAGCCGGTCGGCATTGGCTGCTGCTTCTCCCTGATCGCCCGGCATGGCCAGGCAACAAGCAACAAGCAAGTAGTTGCAGGTAAAACAAACCATCCCTGCCTTAATCTGCTCAATCTCTTCATTCTTTCTCTCCAGTTGTGCCTTTTTCGGAAGGCGCATGTCCCAACCAAATTAATCCGTGATAATCGGCGTATCCAAACTTGAAGCCTTGGCCTCATCAAAAAAGAATGATTTATGGCACCTTGAGACTTTCCACCTCAGCATCAGCAGTCTTCGAAGCAGCCTGATGCTGAAGAGCCGGAGAACAATATGAAAAATAGAAACACGTCCCAACACCAGCAGTACACCGTATTTGTATTCTCCGAGAAGACACTAATTGCTGTGCTTCAAGTAGATTCGTAGATCAACGTGCGCACACAAATAGAACAGCAAGCTGCGCAAGCGGTCCACACAAGGAAGAAACAACGTTGCGCGCCTCTTTTCGCAGGGTCTTGAGGTCCTGGTGGCGTCCAAAAAGGTACTGTATATGAATATAATCTTTCTCACGTGAGAAGCAACATTCATGCTAAAGGTACCTGATGTGTGTTGTTTTTTGAAAAGAATCGACCTCAATGGCCAACCCAATGGAGTTCCTTTTCTTCTTAGGGGTCCGGCTAGTGAGGCCCCTATGCTGCGCACATGCTGGAGATGGGTGAAAGCTGGGTATCAATTCCAGTACCAGTGACAATGGATGATGATGGTTGGGTTGCGGGCATCTCTCAAAAAGAGTGATCATCTTTCACCGACTGCTCTGCTGGTTTACCAAGGTCACACCGGTCACTTCTGCGCGCCCTTGAAACAACCCAACTCGAAGACGGCATGGAACCCATCCGTCGGTCACCAGCATGAGTCAACCATTCGGATCTGAGAGATTCGGATTTGGCGTGCTTTTTGCTCAACCTGTCGGAGTATCCCTTTTGCCTTGTGTGTTGGACACCGTAAAAAAACGCCCCAAGTTGAAGCTACCGGGATTGGATCAAGCGGCTTCCCGCCCCGTCTGAGACGCAACACCCCAAATAGGATCAACGCGGTCAGAACGATGTGCGGAGATCATCTCCCAAGATCATCACAACGACATGGTTTTTTGTGCATGGAGAATGAGAACATAACTTTTCATGTGATTTTTCGAGTTTGAAATGGCTCTGCCTGGTGTCTGACATCCAGCACTTCACCAACTTGGCAAGTGGGGCACTTGACTCTGTCAGAAATGCCTCCCAAACAGCCCACACCCAGTGACCACCCTGACAAAACAAACAAGACATGTTGCGCCAAACTGGGCCAAATACCACAATGGCGCCATCCCCATTCTTGTTGCCAAACGCCAATTGATACTTTCAAGTGATCTCAAGTCAGAAGTTGGAGCATGACTACATGCTGCCCCAAAGCAGCGCTCCTCCTCCAATCTTGTAACTCTCTCTTCGTACGCCTTGTTCGCTGAGCTGACTGTTGGGAGCCTTTGAGTAGAACCTGCACTATTTACGATGACACATTATGCACAATTAAATTCTGAAGATGTCAAGTATCACTGTGCATATTGTCTCGAAGAAGTCTTGCCCCAAAAAAACATGACAACACGCATTTGTGCATGATCTCCACTCTCAAGTCACGTTTACGAAGGAATCGCCTTAAACAAAAAAACCTTCACATTTGCAGTGGATAAGATTGCTTTAGACCAAATCCCGCCAAAACAAAAAATTCCTCCAAAGGGCTGTAGCCGAAAAGCTCTACCTTTGGGGGAATATGGGGAATTGGTAACACCTGCTGAGTCATCCTGCTGACTGATTTGGGTTTTCGGAGTCAAACCCAAGCAAGGGTGCACCACTTTGGAAGTTGCCATATATATAATATATATAAAATATATAGTGTATAACCCCCAAACTGCTTGGTGGTTTCAACTCACTTGAAAAATAATCAGTGGGTTCAATCATTCCAAGTACAGGTTGAGAAAAATCTCTGAAACCACCACCCAGCGTAGCTCTTGAACATTCATTGACCCTCCTCTAGTGGGAAATCCTTGGTCAACCCCACGTCTCCCTCAAAAAGAGTTCACTCCATTCACGTCTATCTTTGAATGTATCCAATCCCATCCCATTCACATAAAGAGCCACTCACAGAATTGGTTTAAGGGAACATCTACAGGAAAGCCATGGTCTTGGGATGTTCGGGGCATGAAAACAAGGGTTTCCTGCAGATTTCCCTTAAACCAATTCATTGAGCCACTGGAGAAAGAAACACCTCCGGTCGTCCTTCAAATGTCGTCCAACCAGGTCTCCCAGCCGAGCATTTCCGGGAGGTGCTGGCCGCTTCACTGCGAAGCCGCGTTGCTTCCGCCTCGATGTGCTTGCTGAAACACCGAAAGGTGCCCCCGAAAGCTCCGTTCGTAGCGTCCGATCGCTCCTAGTAGCGATGCCAGGAGTCCCTAGTAGTTTCTTGTTACTAGTATACAGTAAGGCCAGGAGCCCCAAAAGTGTATGTGCATGTATATATAGCGATGGCCGCCACCCTGTGATGGCCTCCAACCTACTAGCGATGGCCTCCAACTACCCCATATATATAGGTTGACCTACCTGGTATCTAATCCATTCTGTTCATTTTCGGTACCAGTCGGTCTGCCGGCTTCGACCGCCATGGCTGGTGGTTTTGATGAGCATGTTTAGGTTGCCTGTTTGAATCAAAAGGATTCCTGAAAGATCCATAAAGTAATAAAGCTTTGACGGCATGTTCTTTGCTTCTTTGTGGATTCTTTTGGCTATTCTTGTGACTTGTGGCGACCATTTTCAGACCTTGCATTCTACAATTGTACACTTTGCATGGTTTTCCAACTTGTTCAAGGTGGCCTTCCAAATCGATAACAAGTCGCCAGTTGGTCAACATAACCGGACCATTTTCACGATAGGATTCTGCACCAACCGTGGGAACCAAATGAAGAGATTCGTGCGAATTTATGAATAATTAGCTGTTCTTCTTTTCCACCTGCGACTCTTGAAGCTTCTTTTGAAGGCTTTCCTGCAGTGAAGATTCATCTGCTCAGAAGAAAAGCTGGACCCAGCTGATTTCAGAGTCTTTGTGTATCTGTTTGTTAGGGTTTTGACCACAAACATATTGATCACCTCGGACTTCAAGAGCTGCTCGATCTCCACCTTTGTCTTTCCATTCTGCGAGGCCAACTCCTCACATCTCGCAACACTATCGTCACTACCAAAAGCAAGCACGTGTCACATGTAGCAGCTTCAGCAGCTCCTGCTGCAAGCGCGCCTGAGTAGGACGTCATGAAGAGAACACTGCACACAACCCTCTGAAGGTGATAACTATAGGATGTTTCTTCGCACCTCAACTCCACAACTGCAAACCGAATAAATCCAAGTAACCTTCTCGGTCCTCACTTGCATCTCGTGCTTCTCCTCACGGGTCAACATCTCAGCACAACACCTCCCACCCATCTCCTCGCTGTACCGCCGCAGAAAAAGAAAGCGTCCCCCGATGCCTGCAGCTCCGCAAAGGTTCTGTCCCTTTCCTTAGGCGAGGACCGGCATGGGACGACGGACGGCACGGTGGGGCATACGACGTACGACGCAGAACTCCCATGAAGGTCCCCCCGGTTTGACGAATTGGTTCTTCCCACCAAGTCCGGCCCAGGATGGCTTAGGTTAGGATGGCCATCTGTGTTGTCCAAACGCTCCATGGGACTGCAATGTGCTCATGGGTCCCTCGGCGCACTCATGGGTCATCTGGGTCCCTCGAAAACGGCCCGTTGGGGCGGCCCGACCAATTCAAACTCCTTCTCCAACTCGAAGCGATGCCTCAGACTCTCATTCGGACCCTCGCGCAGTGGAGACTGAAGCATGTCCGGTGATTGAGTGCGGTTTGTGATAAAAAACGTCATTTTGAGACATAAATGAATCCGGGGGCGAGGGCACATGGGGCAAATCTTTCAAGGGTGTATCTTTTCCTGCTCAGGAAAAGAACCATTGATCAATGGCTAAGGTGGACTTGAGCTCTCTAACTCTATGTTACTCTGTTACTCAAGGCAGCTGGCAAGGCATGCTTGAGAATTCTAACAAGGAACAACGACATGTAGAACGATGCATGAGTTCAAGAACACTATGACATCACAGGCCATCTGTGATCAGGACTTTGCCAGCTTCATCTTGTGCTCAGCCTGACCCGACAGATCTTTTTGATTCTTGTCTTGGTCAACCCTCCACTTCGGACAAGGGGATGGGTCGTCTGAACCAAAACAAGCTTGATCCAATTGGAACACCGCAAGAGTTCCCACATCTCCTTCGGGGAATGAGCCGAGTTGGCTTTCTCAACAGATTTTTGGACCAGAAGGAGAAGGAGCAACCCATCTGCCACGCCTCACTCTGCTCCACCTCGCTCAAGATGGACTGTGAAGGGACCCTGGCCACTGACTTTACTTGTGCAGCTGTTCAAAGCCCTGCACGTGACTGGCTGGTACTTGCCCAATCAATCAGGGAAGGAGTCCCAGGTTGTTCTGGAAATGACTTCAGGTATATCGGTATATCTATGGAATCCTCATAGGTGGTCATGTCCTTTTTTCAGCCTCTTCCACCCGCGAGTCCAACTCGCTGGTTCTAAACGAGTTCGGGCGATCCGGATCGATCGATCGCAGTGAATCGCATGGATTGGCCGGATCCGACCAGCACCGTGTCGGCCTTGAAGACATCTTGGACTCTGAAGATGGGGCCTCCTGTTTCGACGTCAGCGGTTCGCCCACTTGGACATGTCTCAAGCTGTTTGAAGGGTCTTGAGATGAAGGAAACCCGACTCTCGCCTCGATTCCAGGGCTTGGCAATTCAGCCAACTTGCCTGACTGAGGGGCATGACAAAATATTTGGTGGTTTCAACTCATTGAAACATATGTGTCAGTACTCAATCATCCCATATATTGCCGGTTGAACATACAAATATGATCAAATATTATATATATGGCTGCGAGTCAAAACTCCCCCACCACCAAACATGGTCGGTTAACGTCCCTTATAGAGCAAAGTATCTTAATAGGTTCATAGTCATATTCGGTGGTCAAGCAGGGTGGCCCAGTTTTGACCCCGGAAAACACCACCCAGTGAACATCAGTGAACAAAATAATCCAACACAAATCACAGGTTCGCTAAGTGCATGGCCAATGCCTCTTGCACTGAGCGGAGCGAGCGGAGCCAGGGTCTTCGGTGCCTGTGAAATTCACTGCACCACGAGTAGCGAATGTCTCGCCAAAATGCACTGCTAGGCTAGGGCTTATTTCGATTATGGTGTGATCAAGACACAGCACCCGTGTCTCCTCCGGAATCCGTTCACCAAATCTCTGGGCGCAGATCTTTTTGCCGCCCCGCCAAATCGGGGATCGGTGCTTGGCCTTTCAGTCGGGACCCCTGGTGCCATGAGTACAGTGGCGGTCGCCCATCTTTGCCTCCAGGCGACTCTCTTCCTTCTTCGGTTTCTTCTCCTTCTTTTCCTGTGGTAGTAACAAGTGCATCCCTACTATAGTAACAAGGGCATCGCTGCTGGTAGCTCGAAGCTATAAACATGACACGAAAGCCGAATTGTTACTAGGAGCTTCCAGCTTCTAACCGCCAGCACAGCTTGCTGCCCGTGCCGATACACATGAGAAGTTGCTGATCATCAGATCATCATGGTTAATGGATCATTAATTACATGATTAAATTACACATAAGCCAGTCCAACGTTAATTATACTAGCTCTTATGTAATTGGAATATAAGTGGAGAGTGGTTCCTTGGCGATCTTGAGGATTGGTGCAAACATGTGCAGTTGTTGGTCTTCAGATTCTGAGGGTTTGTGCTGCAGTGTTCAGATGTGCTGCGGCGTTCGTTCCAAGCATCCGAGGCCGCCCACCTTCTTTTTTCTTCTTCTTCTTGCCATCTCCCTCACCTGTCCAGTCCACCCACGGGCGTCATCGGGCCCAAGTCACGGGCTAACGACGACGCCCCGGCCTGAAAGGCTCAAGGTGCCACCTGAGAGTGGTCCCGGTACTGGTCCGTCCAACGGGGCGCGGCACCGTTTCAGGCGGCAACACCGGCGTAGGCCCTTCGCCCGGGACGTTCGGAAAAAGACACCCAGGGCGGTCGGTCGGGCTTCGTTTGATCGCTGGCGGATTCTGGGCGACGGAAGTGTGGTCCCAGAAGTGTCGTCCCTGGAGCCGAATCCTGGTCTGAGGGGCTCTAAGGGGCTCAGATCGGTTTGAGGGACCACGGGGTTGTGAACGGAGCGAGGTGCCACCTCTCTGTTTCTCTGGTCCGTGGATCGAGATGCGGGTGATGCGGGTGATCGAGAAGTAGGAAGGGCATGGAAGGGCCGGGCACTGGGCCAGGCGGCTCAGGGTGGAAAAAAGAACCTCGGTCCGTTCGGCGAAGAACCGGGTCCTCGGGACCCTTTTGGACCCTTTTGGACTTGTTCGAAGTGGGAGCAGTGACCAGTAACTGTCACGCGGATTCATGCACTGCCACCTTCTCAAAGGGGACAACAGAGCTGACTGTCGACAGTCGACGCCACGTCGACACAAAGGTGTCGCCATGATCACCCGATCCATAAGGAAACGATGTATAGATATAATAGATCCATAGGATTCCATCGAAGGTATGTATGATCAAACACATCGCGAGAACTCGAAACTAGATGAAACTAGCTTTCGTGAGTTTAATATGTGATTGATCATTTCTGCAATCTGACTCCTGCCCTAAAACAGTGGAGTTCATCCCCTGCTTGGTGCTGGCTGAGTCTTACTCATTAGAGGAGCAAAATTTGAACATCTTTGAACTTTCTGATGACCTTATGATCGATTTTTATGAATCACTCGATATCAAACGAAATCAAATGCCGCTTGCTCAGCCGTGTCTCCAAGTCATGGAACATCTGTGGCCGTCACTCCGCTTCGATACGTTTCAGAAAGAGGGGCTCCAGTCCGTCGGGTTAACGGGTGAACAAAAAGAAGGGATGAACCACAGCTGAGGACCCCCACCACTTTGACCCAAGCTGCCACTCTCCTCCAAGGGGTCACCTCAGAATCTTGAGTGGTTCCGTGTTTTACATGATTCTACCGTAGAATTCGACCTGTCTGACCGCCCGTCGACTCATCGAATGGAGCAAGCACGGCCGCGAGCGACCTTTTGAGCACCCACAGCATCGATGCAAACACAGCACAACGTGCCATGCGAGGCCCTGGTTTTCGCGCTTGCGAAACCCAGTGATCCTGGCACCAACGATGAGTCTGAAGCTAGAGTGAAGCTAGTATTTACATGGTCACAGCAAGGGATTCCAGCGGGTGTTTTCTAGAATAGCAAGGGAAGCCTTTGGCCCTTTGTACATCCCTTTTCAATTGGGTCAACCTTTTGATCCTTTTGTCGATGTTCCTCTTACTTTGCGATCGATCTTGAGAAGGTTTTCCCCCCTAAGAGTCGCCTCAAACACCCAAGAGTCCAAGCTGTCTAGAAACGTCGGCTGCACAGCACCGTCCCGTTTTGGACCCATGCAGCAGCCGCGAGCCAACCGACGGGCCAACCGACGGCTCCTCAGCCGCGAGCTAGGTCCGTCGAGCTTGAGTGTTCCATGACAAGGCTCGGTGGCTTCCAGGGCCTCGATTTCAGAGCATCCTTGGTCTGCTGTAGGGTCTCGCGAATGGGATTGGCAGGACGCGATGCCTGTCCCACCTTGTGGAAGGTGGTCCCCTTCGTCTCGCCAGGGAGCAGGCCACCGGTCATCTGTGTCCACCAATCTGCATTCAGTTGGCCCAAATCCGTCACATCAGACACCGAAGCATCGCCAAATTGAACAAACTTGCCGGGAGTCGTGTGAAAGAGGGAGGCACCTGGCTCCCTCGCCGGGAGCTCGGCACCGAACTGTCCACTAGGCACCTGGGTGCGGAGCAGCTGGATGTCACCCACTTCACCAGGCTCGATGTCCGTCGCAAAGCCATCCAATGTTTGGACCTGATGACAAAGCATGGCAAAAGCGGAGACAAAGACATCTCGTTCCCTGGAAGAAGCGAAGGCCAAAAAGAGTAGACCATTGGAAGGCCCAGAAGGCCATTGGATGCCAGCTTTGTACTGCTTCTCTGATCTGGTATTTCTCATCGCCGCACCAAAGCCGTTGTAGGAGCTGGTGTCCTGTGTGAGGATATCCTGGACCAAAGCAAGTTGGATCTCATGCTTGCTGCGGCCACGCTTGGCGCCTTCAACCTGACAAACTGAAAGCTTCCTGATGGCTTTATCCAAGATCAGGATGCAAGGCTCGTTCTCACCCGCCTCGGAGATCAGCCGTGAGACGTGGCCACGGACCAGCTCACGGACAAAGGCCTTGATCGTACTAATCGAAGGCCGTTGACTTGGAACACTGGATTTCTCACTGTGACTGGAATTCACCTTCTGTACTGCATTTGGAGCGTCCACCGAGTCCGAATCGCCCAAAGCTGGTCCACTCCAGGAATTTCCTTCACAAGGCCGCAAATTCCAATCCAACTGCTCACCTGCTTCCCTGGTGTGTTCAGACTTCACAGATGTGGCGAAAGGCCTCTGGCTGTTGGCGGTCTCTGGCCTTCGTTCCTCCGGTCTGATCGAGACTCGATTTGCTGATTCAGTGACCTCACAGCAGGGCGCCCAGCCTTGTCCCATTTTTGTCAAGTGGGACGTCCCATGGTGCCAAGATTTTCATCCGAGTCGAAAGAGAGCTCAAAGCCTGGGAAAACTACATTTCTGAGCTCAGTGCAGAAATGAAACACATGTTGCATTTGAGCTAATATTTTGCACGGCATGCAAGAGCAAACAAGAGCAGCAAGAAAACACAAATTAGAACAAATAACAGATGAAAACAACAACAACAATCAATCTGCAAACCAACTGCGCATGTTCGGCTCCTGGAATTCAAGTGTGAGATCGACGACGATTCTACCAAACTGTTCCAATCGATCCAGCATGATCGCACTCTGTTTCACAGAACTCCAAATCATTGCTAGCTGTCTACAGTCAGTGTATTTGCACATGTGAAGAACATCTCATCATTTAGCTTCTATGAGAGAAAAACATCAAATGAGGAATGAATACCAAAAGTTAGGTATACGGATGCTTTGTTGAGGTGTTTGTTTAGAGTTTTTACGCCAGTTGTAGTCAACAATCCTCTGCAACTCTGGATCGTGTTTTCGATGAAAACACCGGCGGCGCCCCCCGGCGCCCCCCGGCGCCCCCCATCTCTCAGAATCCGACCCTCTCTTTGTGTCGAGAGACCCAAGCCTCGAAAAGTGATGCACTCGTTGTCGAATCTCTGAGACTTCCAAAATCTGAGATCCCATTTTTTATGGATTAAAGTGGATTCCCCAGAGTTCAACCACTTCTTTAAGCTTTGTCCTTTTCTAAATTGAAGAGTCTCGAATCTTTATATACCTGGATTTCTGAGACCTATAGAACTCTGATCATGGCTGGTCTTTTTCTTGCTTCGAGACATGCATAGACTTCTCTCATTTAAAAAAGACACACTGCATGTATATGTGGAATATATATACATACATTGACCCCCAAAAAACAAATACAGCTAAATAGAGTTATTGTAAATAACTAGTTCATTCATATTTATGCTATACATGGATTGTCAGAGTACCCGCATCACTGTTTTCCGATTGGTGCAACACTGAGAATTCCACGTTCCGCGACCTCCTCCAGCTCCGCCTGAGCGAGCCGAGAGACCGATGGATGAACATGAGCAGAAGATCAGTTTTCATGGTTGACATGGACATCTATGTCTTTTTCTCCACTTCACACGTGCACCGCGGATATCCATGGATCAAAAAAGAAACAATCATCCCAATGAGTGAATCGTAGATCATCATAGTGAAGCTGTATAATTCTTTTCCACCCAACACGGCATGCCCAAAAAGAGGAGCGTTTTTTTGGTTTTTGCCCCCCTATAATTACTCAAGACTGAAGGCCTCGGTCAAAGAAATCGAATCTTTCGGTCACCATCAGCTACTCAAGAAGTTTGGCCAGCAACCTACTAGCGTGGGTTTATACGGCCTCCAACCTAATAGGAACGGAACGGCATCAAACCCAGAAGAAATGGCCTCCAACCCTATAGGAATGGCCTCCAACCTAGAAGCGATGGCCTCGAACCCAATAGGAATGGCCTCCAACCTAGAAGCGATGGCCTCCAACCCAATAGGAATGGCCTCCAACCTAGAAGCGATGGCCTCCAACCCAATAGGAATGACCTCCAACCTAGAAGCGATGGCCTCCAACCCAATAGGAATGACCTCCAACCTAGAAGTGATGGCCTCCAACCCAATAGGAATGACCTCCAACCTAGAAGTGTTTAGTCCATGGGTGTTGGATGGTTGTGGTTCGATTCCAAACCGTTTCTGAGAGTCCGAACCTCATCAAAGTCTTCACCCAACCTCATGAAGGTCCAAAGGGCCAACGTAAGCGATTCGGAAGCGATCCAAATTCCAGGAAGGTCCCCTGTGAAGTACTGGGATGAAGCAGATAAAAAACACCTTGGAAATCGATTTTGAGGATGGTGCCGCCCTCGGAAACACGGAAAAAACGGCTTCCGGCATCACGTGCTGGAACCATCGGGTTTGGAAGTGTGATGGGACCTTGCAGGTCTAAGACTGAAATGCGGTTTGTCCCGGACGTCGATGCATTGAAACATCACCAAAATGGTGTGACATCTCCATCGCTATGTATGGGATATCGTATGGGAATGTGATGGTGTTTTTTCTTCAACAGTGATCCACCGCCCCGAAACCAGCCGGGTTCCCGTCCGCGCGGTTCCCGGAACCTGCGCCGCGTCCGGACGACCGGTGCGGTTTTTTTGGTTCGCTCGCCACGGACCGGGGCGGTGAAGATCCAACGCGGTGCAGAAAGCAATCTTGAGCGATCTTAAGAGCTGGAGCTGCTGCTGGAACTCGAACCGTGCCTTGCAACAGTCTTGGATCCTTCTTCTGAAAGGTGACACTCCTTTAAAGGATGAATCTTCTGAAAAGAGACCACCCAACGCATCTTACTGAATGAGAAAATGCACACAAACACCCAACACCCATGAGCAGGGAGGTCCTTTTGTTTAGCGTTTAGAGTGATCCTCACACCAGTCTAAGCTTTTCTTGCTGGAACAGATCGTCAAGTGAACATCCATCACATCCAACGTACTTTGACAACTTCTTGAGCTTGAACTTCTTCTCCTTCGAGCAATTTCCAGAATGCTTAAGAACTCGTTTGTGTATGTGTGGGCGGGTCCAAAACTAACATAGTTGGGTGCCTTTACAACTCCCCAATAATGTAGTAGAATGGAAGAGCTATTGAAAAACGTGCAAGCCACATCCGTCCGTTTATGTGTGACTCAGGTATCACAGCGTATCACAGCGTCCTTCTTATCCTTTTTCTTCTTCTTTTTGCCTCGTCAGCCATCACATGCGTTCAGTCTTCTGGTGAAATCGTTCTCTTTTTCGGCGATGGCCTCATGATTTTTTTTGCATGCGTGTACGGTGAAAAAACGGAGATCGAAAAAAACAAATGCGATCTCCAGAGCGATCGCCTCCATGGTCATATGCACCCATCAAGAGCATGTGACCAGCAGCAGCAGGGCTCACAGGACCGAGAGCACCGGGATGACCGAGTGCACCAGGATGCCCTGTGTCGGCCACTCGAATTCCGGAACCCCAATCGTGGCCTAGTACCCAATGGTCCGAGCAAATATGATATACATATATACATCTTTATGATATTTTGTTAATGCTGCTATGTACCTTTTTTAGGTAGATCCATAATCCATATAGTATATTATTCTATTGAACATTGAGCAATCTCAAACTATCTCTCCAGCTATAGCAGTTGCCCGAAGGGACCTGCTACCCACTCTTACTTTGCAAATACAAACATCATCAGACTGCAAGGCTAGAAGGACCTGGACTGGGACATCCTGACTGTAAGCAGTAAACAAGCAAGTCTGGTTGGATATCGAATCAATGATGCATGTACAATCATGTGAACAAAGAAACATCATCTATACCAAATCCTCTGTAAGTTTGTACAAATAAAGCTTCTGCCTAGCATTTATATACATTGGATCTACTTCGTCTTGCTATCTCATTTTCCTAATCTTCCTACATCTCATTCCGCGACACTTCACTCATTCCCCAGCACCTGGCATCGCTCCATACCCAGCGGCATGTCCATGCATTCCATGCGCGTGCGGTGCCGCGTGCGGTGCGTGCGCACCTGCGTGCACACCTGCGTGCGTTCACATTTGGTTAAGTGAAGGTGGATCTGGCTTCGAGAGAACATCCGGAATTTCCGTGTGGGGAACGCAGTCGTCTCTTAGACTCAGTGAAACCGGGGCCTTACCTACTCCGAATCCAATTCTGCTGGACGTGGTTCCACGAAACGACAAAGAGGGGATCTTGCATCGTAAAACTACTGTATTTCATTGGAGTATTCCAAGAGCGTATTACGGACAGCGGCTTCCGGAAGGATCTCATCCATGGTCCCTGCACCGTGTCGCAAGGAACGGAGGGCAACAGAATGGTTGTCGCCCACTTTCCGCTCATCCAGTGTGGTGAAAGGGACTCTCCTGCTCAACGGCAGAAGGGCACCCCAGTTTGAGAGACTCTGTCCCCTTTGGCTGCGCAGCTTACGTGGGCAACGCGAGCAAACACGTTTTTTCGGCCTGCCCGGCCTGGATATCCAGGCTTCTGCCATTGAATCGCAATCTTCAACTTTCCGGCTTTCTGACAACCTCCAAAGGTGTGCTTTCGGATGAGCTCCAGGACTCCTGGTGCTGAGAAAAGACACTTTGGTCTACAGATGTCTATAGTATATTGATTGGCACTTGAACAGACTACAGTACCGCTTAGCTGCCCAGGCAAAGACTCCAAGCAAATGTATCGTTTCATGGACTTGAACTCTTCCCAGCAGGCTACTCAACTCAAACCACCCAACATCAATTCAGTCTCCTGCGAAATCGTGGTGAAGTGGAAGACCTTTGTAAACGGCCTCTCCAATCACCCCATCTGCCACCAGCACATTACTGTCCATCACCAAGAAGTGGATATCTGGCTCGCCGCGCCAGTCGATGACCTGTGCCCAGTGGAACTTCGCCTTCTTCCCAGCATTCGTCATCACCGCGGTGCGAAACTCTCGCCCGCCGAGGCGGATGAGCACGTAGGGATCCATCTTGCCGGTCCAATCCTGAGCGAAGCGAACTCGAATGAATTCAAGCGAAGCGAATTCCCAAAGAAACAGAACATACTGTACCTCGCCCCGGCTGTACAGGTCTCCAAAATGGTGGCTTTTGGAGACCTAAAAGTCGCAAGTGGTGACCTGTTGGAGGGTCCTGCCATAAAAGATTTGCTCATTCTCGGAGAACACCTCGCGAATTCAAAAGAATTCGAACAAGCACTGTGTTCATTACAAAGACATTGCTGCCGTTTGGTAAAACTATCTCCCACTTCCTTCCGGGTGTGTGCCTTGGGTTCATGGATGCTGTCTGCATGCCTTGATCAAGATCAATTCAGAGCATTGGCACAAGCGGAAGGCCCGCCCCAAAATGACCAGTGGAACATTCCCCAACGACCAGTTGACGATTCGTTGTTTTGTTTTGATGACCATTTAACCCACACACAAACCTTCTTAGCCCGCACTAATCCGTATCAAAACTGAACATAGCTTGCTTGGGGGGTGCACTACCGCCGGGCCCCCGGATCAGTTAATCGAAAATCTGGGGGACCAAACAACGAGAAAACATCCTACACTGCTCCAGTGCTGGATTGAGAAATTCAAGCCAAAAACATCAGAGGGGGTTGAGTCTTAACAAGGAACAATCAACAATCAGTCTTAGGTTAAAATCTGATGAATATGAGCCCCGACCTAATCAATCTGCAAACTTTGCTTCATGAAAATGGTGTTTGGAAAGTAACTCACTCGGATGGTTCACTTCCTTCTTACATACCCCTTGATTTATGTCGCGTCTTTTTCTCTCTTCGACAATCCCGATCCAAGTTGAGATTCAATAAATATACATTATATATTCTATAACATGACCTTAATCCATGAGTTCTGTTTTTTCTGCACACACTTCCCCTACCCCCTTTGAAATAGTTAATCCACCCCCTTAATGATTCATTGTAATTAATTAATCCAACAACCTTTTTCTGAGTGAATTTAAAGCAACTTTCTATGATGGACCCCCAGGATGTTTGCACAACTTTAGGAAACTCATACTAGGGCAAACTGTGTGTTTCTAGGGTCACAGCTGCATGTCAAAGGATGCGTGAACTCGACAAGAAAGGGTTGCGATCCAGGAAAAAAAGGTGCAAGAGATGTATACTATGTATACGTTGAGGAACACTCATCTTGAAAAAAACATCAAGAAACACTTCTCTCTACATGATGTTGTTTCATCTAAATCCGATCACTACGTCCTCTTCAATACATGGTTTGCCCTCTCGGCCCCATCTGTGCCCCTCGGCCCGTTTGGTCTCGGTCCCATAGACCCGTTTGCCCGCGGAACGAACGTGGCTTCAACTCACTTGAAACATATGCGTCAGTGGGTGACCCATCAACCCGACACAATGAACATCGATGATCATGATGATCAATTAAATACATCAATAACTCCCAAAGGGTCCAAGTAACCCCAGTTCAACCTTTCTGAGGAAGTATGCGGAAGTTCGACCATGGTGCTTTGGGCACGTCCCAGACACACCAGCGATGCGGAAGGATTTTCTTGCCCGAGGCACAAGGTCATAAAGGTCCTTGGCACTTTCCACTGACAGCAAGAACGCACCAGGTCCAGCATAGGATGGTCCAGGGCCACAGGGTGGATAGATTGGAGCATGCGTCGGACCGTGAGCAGGGTGAGCACTGGGCCCACTGGGCCCACTGGGCGACAATTCAGGTGGCATGACGTGTCCAATCACCACACTCTCTGCCTGAAACGAAAAGCACTCGGTCAAGTCCATGTGTTCGGGGATCTTTCGGGGAGGATGCATACCAGTGGACTCGTGTAGTATGTGGGGCAAATCATCGATACATGTGCGGCAACATCTTCAAACACATGACATACTTGCCAGTGCGGCTGAAATGCAGGCACATGATTCTTGGCATCACAAGTGCCATCGTGACCCTGGCCCGTGGCGCACCTGGCGGCAGTTCGGATTTGGGATGATTGTGGATGCATGATGCGTTCATGATTTTGGGTGCGAACCAAATCTGCTCCATTCATCCGCCAAAGGTTGGGATGCAACGATGCTCATCGCTGTGCGCACCGTCCATCCATGGCTCCAGCCGACCCCAAGCGGCGCGACCGGCGACCGGCGACGGGGCGAAAGAACCGCCGCCGCCTGCGACAGCAAGTGTCGTAGCCTGACGCTGGGACTCTTCCACACTTCATTTTGCCTGAAGGACGACAGGTCTTGACACACGAGAAGCGAGCGTTGCGAGCGACAGGGCCTTGACTGGAGAAGCGGTTCCTCCGTTCGAAGAGGCGTCTTGGGAGAAAAGGAGAGAACTGACATTTGTCTTGGAGAAGCCAAGGGTCCTTGCTTTTTTCGTGTGCGTATGATGGGGTGTGGTGAGTGATATAATTGATCCTCTGCAACAAACAGAATCCCTCCAAACCCAGGTCAAAGAAGCTTGGGTACAATAACATAGAAACATAAGGGGAACTCACAGAGTGGCAGTGACGACTCTTTCTTT